GGGACTTTTGGTGGGCTCAGCAGGGCAGAGACAGCCTGCACAATTCCTATCGGCTTTTGAAAGCCAATAGAATTAGACTCTATTCAAGAGAGTCTATTCTGTTGGCTTTCAAAAGCCAATAGAATAAAAGGGAGTACCACAGCTAAGGAAAAGGGGGAAAAAATGGTGGACTGTGTTGTTTGGCGATCCCCGTGAAATGGTCATTCGACCCCAAATGGGGTCGCGACCCACAGGTTGAGAACACTGGTATAGGGTCTCCTGATTGAGCAGGGGGTTGGACTAGAAGACCTCCAAAGTCCCTTCCAGCTGTATTCTGATTGATTAACCAAATAGCACTATAATTATTTGTTTTGTATCAAACTATCTGAAGGCAGCAGAATTCCTGAAGGATATGATGATTTGGGTCTTCTTCTGTTGTTAGCTATTTTATTTTGTCATTGCATTGTAGTGGCGAACCTATGGATTGAGATTCACATCCCTGAGAAGCTCAGTTGGGGCCTATATTATAGTTCTTTTCATACCATGGGATTTCTTATCCTTTCTGATCCTTACAGCATTTTCCAAAATCTCCGCAAAGCTTTATGGCACACCACTTTATCCCCACACTTCTGGATATTGTGCTTGTTCCCACAATCTAGCCTACCTTGATCATTGCATCATTTTTCCATGTTGCTTTTACAATATTAAATAATAATAACAATAATAAAAATAACAACAAAACAATAACAATAGTAATAATAGCAATAATAATAAAGTTGGGACCTTGGTGGTCATCTAATCCAACTCCCTGCTCAGGCAAGAAACTCTGTACCATTTCAGACAAATGGCTGTTCAGTCTCTTCTTAAAAACTTCCAGTGATGGAGCATTCACAAGATCTGGAGGCAAGTTGTTCCACTGATTAATTGTTCTAACTGTCAGGAAGTTTCTCCTTAGTTCCAGGTTGCTTCTCTCCTTGATTAGTTTCCATTCGTTGCTTCCTGTCCTGCCTTCAGGTGCTTTGGAGAATAGCTTGACTCCCTCTTCTTTGTGGCAGCCCCAGAGATACTGGAACAATGCCGTCATTTCACCCCTTGTCCTTCTCTTCATTAGACTAGACATACTCAATTCCAGCAACCGTTCCTTATATGTTTTAGCCTCCGTGTTTATCAAATTTATTAAAACAATGAGGAATCCAGAGACAATTGCATTCTGCATATTGCCCAATATTCCATCTGCATTTAAAAGCGAGTTGTACATTTCTTGAGTTACGTAGAAAGTGTCTTCTTTTGCTCTCTTGTACCCTTTCTGTTCACCTAAGAATGGCAGGGCCAGGAGAATAATAGTTGATTGGGGACCTATCATAGCTGACTCAGATGCTTGTCTGGGTGGGCCATTTTAACTCCCGCAAATATGCTTTCTATTAGCACCTTATCGGAATGGGCTGAGAAGATTGTGAAACACACTCCAAGGTTTCAAATCATGTGGGGCCTTCTATTTAGGTCCTTGTGATCAACAAATGTCCAAGCAAAGGACTGTAAGGCAAGGCAGCTATACGTGAGAATATATAAACGAAGCTAGGAGTAATGAACACCAAGCGTGCCTGAAGAATAATGAACAAGAATTAGCCTTGCTTCTTATTTCCAATCCTCAGCTGGTTTTCTGCAGATGAGATGAAGCTGAATCTTCCACCTAGTAGATCTTCAAAAAATTACAGGAAACTTGTTTTGACTCCCGAGGCATCAAGTGTACCAAGTAAAGGATGCTGGCTGAGGAATTCTGGGAGTTGAAAGAACCCTGGCAGCATTATGTAGTAGTCTTCTTGCTCATACCCCATGCCACGCGTGAAGTTTATCCCATTCTTGTCCATCTGGGTTATATCACATACACAAGAGGGGAGCAATCACGTTTTTCTATTTGGAAGGAAATTCTCCTTCTCCATTGAAAGCTGCCTTCCTGGCCCTCGACTCTGGCGGGCCAGGATCCAGAACAGTGGTTCTTAACTTTTTTGAACGAATCACCCCCTTGAGCCAATGAGGAAGTTGTCATCGCCCCCTCCCCCAACATAACCTCTCAATCACAACATAGGAAATAATTCTTCAATTTATGCAAACACTTGTTTTGTTTTCTTTAAAATTGTCATCAGGACATATCGATGCAAATCATTTATTTCCAGTCTTTTCCCCATATCTCCCCTATTCTGGCCAATGGTGCGCCACTGTATGGGTAGAGGCTGCTGCGCCACGCGCATGAAGATAAGCGATGCGTCTTCACATATGTACGGCGTTCTGTACTGAAGCGAGCTGGAGGAACATTTGAAAACACAATTCAATCCACTAATAGCGAGCGATCTGATGTTTTTGTACGACAGATATACAGCGATTCACTGTACGGAAAAGTCTCAAAAGTGTCCCCAAAACGTCTCGCTCCATCGCCCCCATATCGCCCCCTTTTCGTTCCTTCGCCCCCATGTCACCCCTTTTCATTCCATCTCCCCCCCCCGAAAAATGAAATCGCCCCCTGGGGGGCGATATCGCCCAGGTTAAGAACCACTGATCTAGAACGTCAGGAGGCCTCCTTCGGGAAGATCTCTCCCGGGGAGAAGAGATACACGTGTGAAGGAGCCTTCGGGTGTAATATGCCAGCAACGTTGCCGGGGCTGGACACCCCGATCCCGGGCAAAACTGTAGAGCCCCGTTTCCCAGGTCCCGGAAGTCCCCTTCCCGTGCACGTGTGAACCGCCAGCCCGTCCAAGACGAGGGCGGAGAGGAACAGGAGAGGGAGAACCGCTCTCCTCGTCCCGGAGGATTCCCCCAGCACGGGGTCCTTCGGCGGGCAACGAGGCAAGGCAGGGGAGGCTCTCAGCAGCCGGAGCGCGGCTGTTTGGGGAGGGGGTCGCAGCGGGGCGAGGCCGGCCAGCTCCGTCCGGCGAGGTCGCCTTGCAAAAACCCCGTAGGGAACCGGTGACGCGGGAGCTGCGGAGGAGGGGGGGAGGAGGAGGGGGGGGGAAGACGAGGAAGAATAAGAAAAAAAGGAGGGGGGGAAGGAAAGAGGAAGAGGATGAGGAGTGGGAGGAGAAGGGGAAGAAGAGAAGGAAGGAAGCAGAGGAATAGGAGGAGAAGTGGAGGAGGGGGAAGAGGGGAGGTGAAAGAAGAGCAGGAGGAGGAAGATGAGGAAGAGGAGGAGGAGAAGAAGAGAAGGAAGCAGAGGAATAGGAGGAGAAGTGGAAGAGGGGGAAGAAGAGGAAGAAGAGGGGAAGAGGAGGAGGAGAGGGAAGGTGAAAGAAGAGCAGGAATGAGAAGAGGGGGAAGGAAGGAAGAGGAAGAGGAGAAGTGGGAAGGAGGAGAAGGGGAAGAAGAGAAGGAAGGAAGCAGAGGAATAGGAGGAGAAGTGGAAGAGGGGGAAGAAGAGGAAGAAGAGGAGGAGAGGGAAGCGAAAGAAGACCAGGAGTGAGAAGAGGGGGAAGGAAGGAAGAGGAAGAGGAGAAATGGGAAGGAGGAGAAGGGGAAGAAGAGAAGGAAGGAAGCAGAGGAATAGGAGGAGAAGTGGAGGAGGGGGAAGAAGAGGAAGAGGAGGGGGAAGAGGGAAGGTGAAAGAAGAGCAGGAGTGGGAAGAGGAGGAGAAGTGGGAAGAGGAGGAGAAGTGGGAAGGAGGAGAAGAGAAGGAAGCAGAGGAATAGGAGGAGAAGTGGAAGAGGGGGAAGAAGAGGAAGAAGAGGGGAAGAGGAGGAGGAGAGGGAAGGTGAAAGAAGAGCAGGAATGAGAAGAGGGGGAAGGAAGGAAGAGGAAGAGGAGGAGAAGTGGGAAGGAGGAGAAGGGGAAGAAGAGAAGGAAGGAAGTGGAGGAGGGGGAAGAAGAGGAAGAAGAGGGGGAAGAGGGGGAAGAGGGAAGGTGAAAGAAGAGCAGGAGTGGGAAGAGGAGGAGAAGTGGGAAGGAGAAGAAGAGAAGGAAGCAGAAGGAGGAGGTGGAAGAGGGGGAAGAAGAGGAAGAAGAGGGGAAGAGGAGGAGGAGGAGGAGAGGGAAGGTGAAAGAAGACCAGGAGTGAGAAGAGGGGGAAGGAAGGAAGAGGAAGAGAAGGAGAAGTGGGAAGGAGGAGAAGGGGAAGAAGAGAAGGAAGGAAGCAGAGGAATAGGAGAAGTGGAGTAGGAAGAAGAGGAAGAGGAGAAGTGGGAAGGAGGAGAGGAAGAGAAAGAAGCAGAGGAATAGGAGGAGAAGTGGAGGAGGGGAAAGAAAAGAAGAAGGAGGAGGAAGAGGAGGAAGAGGAGGAGAAGTGGGAAGGAGAAGAAGGAAGCAGAGGAATAGGAGGAGGTGGAAGAGGGGGAGGAGGAGGGGGAAGGGAAGAAGAGGAGGAGAGGGAAGAAGAGAAGAAGGGGGGGGGGATGGAGAGAAAGAGGAGGAGGCTGGCCGCCAACTCCGGGAGTTTCCATGGCTTCCCTTGTATGGCGAAGCGGGTCCCCGCGGGAGAAGGAGGAGGAGGAGGAGGCGGGGGCGGCCGGGCTCCCGCCTGGGCAAATTCGCCTGCCTGCCTGCCTGGCCGGGCTCCTCCGCGCTCTTCCAATCGGCGGGAAGCCCCGGCCTGCCCCCCCCCCCGGCCGCCTCGCTCCACCCCCCCACCCTCCTCCTCCTCCTCCTGGCTCCCACCCGGGGAATAAAGGCGGAAAAGGCTCGGCGCGGCCCCCGCTGCCCCCCGAAGCCGCCGGCTCCGCTTCCCCGAGCCGGCTCGGATGGCGGCGGCGGTGGCGGAGCTCAGGCAGAGCCGCGCGCGGAGCAGCCGCTGATCGGCTTGGCTTGCCTTCCTCTTCTCCCCCCCCCCCACCACCCCCTCCTGCCCTCGCCGCCGCCCGCCGCCGGGAAGCTCGGCCGAGGGAGCGAGGCAGGCAGCCCGGCTGTCCGCGGCTCCCCCCCCCCGCCCGCGGCCGCCTTGCCCCGCTCGGCTGCCCGGCTGCCCCCCCCCCCAGCCCCGCTCGCCAACTTTCTCCTGCCTCCATCACTTGTGGGGGCTGCCCTCCCACCCCCCCGGGCGTGGTTGTTTTTTTTTCCTTTTTTTCTCTCCCCCCCTCTTTTCTTTTCCTTTCTTTTTTTTTCTTTTTTTGGTGGGGAGAGGGGGGGGGCCTCGGTCCTCGCTGGGGAAGATGGCTGCGAGCTGGTGGTTCTTCTTCAGCCTGACCCTTTGCCAGTCTTTGGTGATCAACCTCTCCGCCGAAGGGCCCTTCCCGTCGCCCACCACGTAAGTGCCGCCTGAGCCCGGCTGCGGGGTGAGAAGGGGCTCGGGGGGGGGGAGAGGCGTGGGGGTGGGGGAGACGGTGGGGCTCGGGAAGGAAGGACGGAAGGAAGGAGAGAGAGAGAGAGAGAATGAGGCGAAGGAAGGAAGGAGAGAGAGAGAATGGAAGGAAGAGAAGAAGGGAGGGAGGAAGAGATGAGAAAGAAGGAAGGAGAGGAAGGAAGGAAGGAGAGAGAATGGAAAGAAGAGAAGAAGGAAGGAAGGAAGAGATGAGAAGGAAGGAGAGAGAGAGAATGGGAAGGAAGGAAGGAGAAAGAATGGAAGGAATAGAAGAAGGGAGGAAGAGATGAGAAGGAAGGAAGGAAGGAAGGAGAGAGAATGGAAGGAAGAGAAGGAGGGAGGAAGAAGAGAAGGAAGGAAGGAGAGGAAGGAAGGAAGGAAAGAAGGAGAGAGAATGAGGGGAAGGGAGAGAAAATGGAAAGAAGAGAAGAAGGAAGGAAGAGATGAGAAGGAAGGAAGGAAGAGAGGAAGGAAAGAAAGAAGGAAAGAAGGAAGGAAGGGAGAATGGAAGGAAGAGAAGAAAGAAGGAAGAGATGAGAAGGAAGGAAGGAAAGGAGAATGGAAGAGAAGAAGGAAGGAAGAGATGAGAAGGAAGGAAGGAAGGGAGAATAGAAGGAAGAGAAGAAGGAAGGAAGAGATGAGAAAGAAGGAAGGAAGGAAGGAAGGAAGGAAGGAAGAGAGGAAGGAAGGAAGGAAGGAAGGAAGGAAGGAAGGAAGGAAGGAAGGAAGGAAGGAAGGAAAAGCTTGGAGAGGGACGCTGGAAAAACACGGGAGGAGAGCAGACAGCAAATCAGACATAGAGCCACATTTGATCGGGGAAGGACCCTGGTCCGTGCTTGGGGGGGACCAATAGCGGCCAGAAACCACGGGAGGAGGCTGAGAAGGAAAGGGGTGCTTGTGGCACCCCGTTCCTTACGCTTCGCCATCTCCGGAGCATCCTTAAATAGCCCCTGTCGGTTTCCCGGCCGTTTCAGCTGCGTGCAGGGGAAAGTTTCAAGTTACATTCCCGACCCTCTGACTTCAAAGGGCTATTTTAGCCCCGCCGGGGCGGCCTTAGAGACCGAACTTATTTATTTAATTTTTTTTTTTGGCAAAAAGCAAAAGGGATTTTTGCGCGTCGGAACGCGCCGTCCCGAAATCCCAGCTCTAACTGAAGTTTGCAAAGCTCTGGGCGCTCGCCCCTTGCAACCTGGAGAATTTCCATAGCGTGCAGCAAATGATGTTTTCTTGACAGGTTCTCGGGTTTGGTTTGAGTCCTCTCTGCTTTTTTTTTTTTTTTACTGCATCTACGCATGTGCAAAATCAGAGCTGTTTTTCTCTCTCTCTCCCCCCCCCTTTTTTTTTTAAAAAATAGCTATATAAGGGAACTTAAATGTTGCATCTACAACGCAACAGTTCCTGATTTCGTTAGGCAGGGCCACGACGCTGCTTCGGCCCTCTTTGGCGTGTAGAATTTCAGCACATTCCCCTCTTTGAAAACAGCACACCTGATCTGAGTCGAAAACTTATCCAGAACAGGTGCAAAATTCACAGCCAAGAAAAGAAAGCAGGGAAAAAAAAAAAGATTGAAATCTGGTCAGGGACTGAAAGGATCACATTGAATCGGTTTGCTTTGTTAGTGTAGAAAGATTTCAGTTTATATATAGACACTTGTTACTAAGCATCGCTCATAGTTATTATCGCTTTAGCTCATTTTCTGGGGGCTGTAGCACCATCAGAGCTTCTTTAAGCAAAATCCAAAATGTTTATAAAGTTTATAGTTCAGGTTTGACAGCTCATTGCCTAACCATGCCCTTCTAACTAGATCCAATTTTCTCTGTTACTTTCTGCGGGCTCCAGTGGGTTACTTTGAGATCTAGAGAGAGAAAGTTAAAACAGAATTGTAGGATTCCGCAACTGCATGCAGAACAGCATGATTATTCTGACTTTTTCAAATGGTTTGAGGAAAACCTTTAACCCCAACTGATTTTATACCATCATCACATTTCCTTAAAGAGGAGATTCCTCAAAGTCAGATGTGAAAGAAAGCAATATTTTCCTCCAGTTATGACAGATTTGAAGCCCAACGTTTGTTTGGTAAAGGGAGAGGATGGCTGCTTAATTTGAAGCACTCTCTGTCAGTCACTGAGCTGAAGAATAGGATTTATTTGGCCACGAATTTTGAAGACTAGAAATATCAGCAATGGAAATAAGAGCAAAAGTTTAATTTAGGAGAAGACAGGAATAAGGAAGGAGATGTGTGCCAAATAAATAAGGTTTCTGTACAACATTTTTTTTTCTGTCGATAACCGATCAGCAGGTATTCTATAAGACTGCTCTGAATTAAAATTGCTTTGTTTTACAAGACAAGCACGTGGCAATTTGGTTTGGAAACAAGCCATCAGAATAGCTGAAGGATATGGGGTATATGTCGAGATATATATATATATATATATATATATATATATATATATATATATATATATATATATATATATATATATATATATATATATAAAAGAATAATAGAGTTACTATTAGGTCTGCTTGCTTAGATGATAATAACCAGTTTTAATTTTAAAGCCTTTTCTTTACAAAATGGAAATGTAAACAGTCAAATTCAGGATGCTTACCCAATAAATAATTAAACGGCCTTGATATATGAGAAATTAGCAGCTAATGTGTTTGTTTGAAATTGGATATGTGACTGTGGTATGGCGTTGTTTATTAAAACTGAATAGCCACAGATATACATAAGCCCACAAACAAATGGATCTTTTTTTTAAGTGAAAAAGGCATTTAATGGATGTGCAATAATACATAAATGTGTAATATTTAAGAACAAAAATCATCCCGAAATAACCAGATCTAAACAATTAATAACAGAATGTCTTGGTTTGATGTTAATCTCCACCTTATTTCTTCAGTTAAGTCATTTTAAAAAGGTTGCTGTTTAATTTCAATGGTTCCTTCAGACACATTTTTAAGCCCAGAATGTTTTGTCAATTCACATTTAATTAAATTATTTGCAGGAATGTATTTGCTTTGGTAGTCATTTGTCAACCGTTGCGATTTGTCATTTTTTAAAAAATATAAATTAGTGGCATTTTTTTTTAGCAGCATGCCATTTTCATGTTTGTGGTGTATTTGCATATTGTATAGCCAACTTCATATAGTGTTGAACTTGTGTGATTGTTGGAGTGACATGCCGGCTAAACTTGGAAACACCACATTTAGAATTATAGCAAAACGTTTCCAGTCTTAAATGCATGCAGAAAACACTCGTGATTTATACAATATTTAAAAGAATTTGAAATGAGAAGGAATATATTATACTAGTTTCAGAAGGACATTTTGCTCTTTTTATGCTTGTATGTTTTAAAAAACAAAAGCTTCTTATTTCAGATTTTTAAATGGAATGCTTTCTCTAGGGAGGAATTTTTATATCTTTGTGTTCCACGGATTCAGGTCTAAGAACACTTGCGTTTCATTGATAACCTGCAAACGTATGCTTCTTTGTTAAATCTAATGCCTGGATTCAGTACAATTTTTCATAGCTTACATTCTCTGTAAAAAGGACTGGTTTGGAGATGACCATGTAGCTTTAATGAAAATAAATACAATTTAAAATGCCCATTTTTTAAAAAAAAAAAATCATTCCTTCACCATTAACAAATAAATAGAGAACAGAACCACAGCCTTGAAGTCACTTTTTTATTTTACAAGATTTTTGCTTTATTTTATTTATTCATTTACAAGAATCTGCTTTCTTCATAAGGTGCATAAAGACTCTCACTTTTAGGATGCTTTAATGTCTAATAGGGTAATATCTGATCCAGTTTGATGTTTGGGCTACTCTCTTCAAATAAAACGCAAGCGATTGGTACAAATAGGTTCAGAATGCATTGCTGTCAAAGCCTGTTCCTTAATGGCAGAGTGGATCTTACCGAGTTAAGATCCTCCTTAGTGTAGGATCTAATTTTATGTCCTAAGTATAACTTTCAGATCCTGTTGCTATGCAATGCTGAATAGCAATATCTTTGCAGCCAAGATATTTCAGGGACTTTAAAATGGTCTTTTCTGGGCCATTCATTGTGCGTTTAAAAGCACATTACTTGGGCTGTCTAGAGGGCACAACTCTGACCCAGGACTATTTACGTAAATCAAAGAGAAACAGAGGATTCACATAAGGATATTTGTTTTTAGCCAGATGCTTAGAGTTTCTGTACCAATTTCCTCTTTCACTTTAAACTGTTTGTTAGCTGTCACGGCAAGAAGGATAAAGTGCTTTTGAAATTGTTTTGTGGGGAGGTAGAACATCTTGTTGCTACCGTGATTGTCATTATTGTGTTGGTTTGCATGTACACTGAGAACCTCTGCACCGGAGACAAATTCCTTCTGTGTCTAATCACCCTGGGCCAGATAAAATACTCTGTTCTATTGATGTACAGTCTCCTCTTCTGAATACCCCTGCTAGTGCTTTGGAAAAATATTTAGATCTGCTGATAGATTAAGTGGGGCCAAATATGTTGAAGGAGTATTCAATTTATTTTTAGGAACAAAGGCAGACATTGGAACGGCTTGATTTTCCTTTAATTTCTTGGCTCTGTCTGTGTGCTTTCTTTTTTTCTTTTCTTTTTTTTAAAAATCTGATAATATTATAGCTGCTGAATGTTGGAAGGCAGTTGCCTTTTGTCACTGAGCTAATTTCTCCTCGCAAGACTTGAACCCTGACAACAAAACCCTTGTCATATTTCTGCGTGAAATCTTTAGATGTCAAAGCAAGGGAGCTAATTAATCTTCCTGTTATTATTATTATTTTTAAATATACTACTTGGGTAAATTCCTTTCCTCTATGCTACGTTTTCCCTTTGTCAAACAAGCCTACTTCTCTACTTGTCTAATGGAAGGCTTGCTTATCGTAATTAAAACCGGGGAACGCTTTTGGCAGGTTTTATTAAAAAGGG